AACCCTTATGTGTAACAAGCTTGTTGTTAACTGCATATCTATAAGCAAGAAAGTGAACACACAGCTTTCAGGCACTAGAAAGGGCAGGGCTTAAAGCAACATTTCTGGTGTCTGCCATAGGGTCCCTTGCACTGCCATGCCAGGTCATCCACTCTGCTTCTCTGAGTTACTATCCCCATCTCCAGAGGAAACTAAGGCTGAGAGAGGTAGGACTCTGCACTGCCTAGATCTATGAGAAGCAGTGCTTAAGTCCTATCTCACAGACCTACCTTCCTTTCTTCCTTCCTTTCCTTCTTTCTTCCTTTTTTTTGTTTTTTGTTTTTGGTCGGTTGTGGGTCTTGAACTCTGGGCTTGGGTGCTGTCCCTGAGGTCTTTAGTTCATGGCAAGTGCTCTAGCACTTAAGCCACAGGGCCACTTCTGGTTTTCTGGTGGTTCATCGGAGATAAACGTTTCACAGACTTTCCTGCCGGGGCTGGCAGAGATCCTCAGATCTCAGCCTCCTGAGTAGCTAGAGTTACAGACATGAGCCACTGGCACCCAGCTTCCTTCCTCTTTCTTTTCTCGCTCTCATCCCCATCCTCAGGGCTTCATACTTGCTTATTTAGTGGGTGCTCTACCACTTGAGCCATGCCTCCAGTCAAGCCTTTTGCTTGTTATTTTGGGGATGGAATCTCAAGTACTTTGCTGCTTCACAGCTGGGTTTGAACTATGATTCTCTAGATCTCAGCTTCCAGAGTGGTATAAGCCACCTGTTCCCAGCTCTGTTGCCTATTTTTCACCCCTATCCTTTTGAGTTATCTTATTTTTTCTCATTTTCTTAGATTATTCTCAGTGTCTTCATATACTTTTCTCCTTCCTGCCTGCTTTTCTACCTGTCTGTTTTTCTCCTGTCTTTTTCACCATCTCTCAATCCCTGCTTTGTATCTCCCTTAACTGGTCAAAAGTGAGAGAACAGAGTTTAATACATTTGCTTTACTTATTGAACAGTTTTAGATTTCTGCCTCATATAAAAATAGACAGGTGGATGGAACATTTCCTATTCATCTGGAAAACAAATATATAGTTAAAAAATATTACTCTTTGTTGAGTCTTGCCTCCCCCTCCACAGGCCCTCCCCCAACTCAGAGCCAGGGCTAGCCACAGAATAAAAGTCTCGCCCTAGGGCTCTGAGCCTAGAACAGGAGCAGACCTGAGGCATGGCATGGTAAGGTGAGAAGCATGGAGGGCATGCAGGGCATGTTGCAATGGGAGCGATGGAATGGAAACCCCAGTCAGCAGCCACCCAACTGCCTGACACCAGGCCTTTCTACCATCGAGTGCTGCCACTCTCTGGCTTTTGCCCTGACCCCACGTGCAAACTACCCCTCCACATCTCTGCTTGGGCAGATCTCTCTGCATGGCATGCTGGGGTGGGAGTGGGGGTTCAGTTCTCTTCACCTGGGCAACACCTACCCATTGGCTGAAGTCCTTCCTGATCCATGGAACCAGCTAGAATGGACTCCTCCTTTATGGCCCCCCTGAGATCAGAGGTGGGTTGTCTCAGTCATCCTGGTTTCCCCAGTGCCCAGAACAGGGCCTGGCACACAATAGGTATCCAATCAACACATAGTAGAGAAAACGAAGAGCACAGACGTCTGCCCCCAACTTCACTAGGAGGATACCAAAACAATCAAATAGCTCTGGCCTTAGGTTCTGCCCCAGCCCCCTACTTTCCCATTTCTGGACCTGCTTGCCTCTAGGCCATTGCCTATACTACTATATCCTGCCACCCACCCTCCAAGGTGCCCCAGGATAAACCTGTGCTGCATCAGATGCCCAACTCCCCAGCCTGCTTGACCCAGGTCTGAGCCTCTCATGGTTATTTCGGCACCCCCATAGACACTCATGACTGTACACCTCAGACTCCACCCAGTGAGCCAGCCAGCCCCTGAGGGTGAATCTTCCAACATGATCATAGGTTAAAGGATCTTCACTGTCTCCGCATGTAGAAAAAGCCAGAATTGACACTGCCACCAGCCACAGGGAGGGGAGAGATGAGCTCAGCCTCCTAGCATGGCAAGGCGGCCATCACTAGTCTGGCAACATGAGATTAAAACATTACACTACCTTGTTGGTCAGTCAATCTCCCGGTCCATCTTCGATTTTCCCAACACTTAGCTCTGACTGCTTGCAATCAGTATCTGAGAGGCAATCTAAAAGAGTCAAGCTGCATTCTGGAGAAGCCCAGGCCCAGCACTGGGCACAGCTCATCTTGTAGAGAACGGATCAAATGCCAAAGGCTAGTTCCTTCACCTACTCAGCTGGGCCTCACCAAGGAAATAAGATCAAGAAAGTGGTGTTCGTCTTTAGCATTTATTTATATTGGAAAAACGGTTGGGTTGTTTTTACTGAGCAAGCACAGACCACAAGCACGTCACAATCAATTGGCTATACATGAATTTTTTTTTTTTTTTTATCATTCTCTTACTAACAGCAGGAATGAAATAGCACCAAGAGAGGTGTGCGCTACACATTACATAGACATCTGTGGTTATGCAACAAAACCTAGGCCACAAAATCAGAATTAGACACTTCTTGTCTGCTCAGTGAGGCACAGCTACAGGGGCTGGGTGGGAACCCAGGCAGCGTATACTGAAAGCTGAGGAAAACAGTGCACAGCTTTGGTGGGATTTTTGCAGGCAGGCCAAGCAGACAATGGGAAAGACTCCAACCCAGCCTTCTGGCCAGGAGAGTGCACGGAACCCCAGGGAAATGTACAGAATGAGGGACGGGCATAGGAAGCTTGGTCACCTTCACAAAGGCAACACTGAACACTGCTTGAGGAACCAAGATCCGTTTCATTCAGTAGGTTTGGGAAACAGAACGAGACTGGCTGAGTTTTATTTGTAAACAGTAGAAATCAAAGGAAGTTTCTTGCCAGTGAAGTGACACACATTCAAGAGTCAAAGTGAATGGCAGCGAGTATGTGAAAAAGAAGGGGTTCATTAACAGCTTGAAAAAGACACTATACAGATCACCTAAAGTCTCAGGCAGGGCAGGGTAGGAGACAGAGCCCTGGGGCTGAAAGGTAGGTAGAAAGCCTCTGGAGCTTTGGACATACCAACTGGATTCAGTCACAGCACATATACATGTGGTGATGTCGTGTGTGTCTGCCTGTCTGTGTTGTTGAGAAAGATTTCTTTATGCTACTTGTCCAGTCTAGCACTGTGCCTGGCACAAGACATCCAGTATGAGAATGCTGAAAGAGTGATTCCCCTGGGCACTATAAACCCTGATTCACTGCATCTGCAAAGCACAGAATTCTTCTACAGGGAAATCAAAGCCATGGTTCATGTGAGCCCATGTGACTAACATCACAGTTGGAGGAGTAACCATACATTGGCAGATTCTCTGGATAGACTTTTCTGGCCAATGTTACAATGGGCTAACAAGTAGCCCCAAGCAGAACAACTCTAGGCATCTCCAGACAAGCACCATTTGCACCAAGACTTCCTTCTCCAGCTTCGTTCTAGTTTTTCTATTGTTGAACAAGGGCCTTCCATGCACACAGTAAATTAATTTGCAGACTTTCAATCAGCTCCAAGGTGACAATGAAGAAAATAGTGTAAACAGATCATTGGATACTTGGAGAAAGAGCTGTCTTCTCCCAAGCCAAAAGGGCTTGAAGGGATGTTTGAGGTATGGGACCCTCCATACCTCATGAGCGCCATACCTCAGAAGCCTCCAGGAAAGGCTTCTGCAGCTCAGAATGCTGCACAAGACAGGGGCAATACAGGGTGTCGAGTGATCCACATGCTCACAAAATATTTCTGGTAGACATTTTGGGTTCCCTCACAAGCACTGGGGGGTAGGTGTCATCACACAATTCCCTGACTAATTCCTACAAGTCTAGCACAGCCCAGGTGGCACTTGCTTGTCCTGGGGACTTTGGCCACACACACACACACACACACACACACACACACACACACGAGTAAAGCAAGAGATACTAGCTAATTCCTTAGCAGGGCACACTCAGAGCCCACACCTCCATCACAGAAATGCCAACCAGAAGTTGAGCATGCTGGTCTCTCATGGAGCAGAAGCAAGAGTGACTTAGGGAGGAAGCACTGTCACACTTTTCGCCTAGGCATCTCAGAAACAAGAAGTCCACTACACCTGAACTTCCTCCCTGGTTACCTTAGCCAGTTGCTCGGCCACATTGATGATGTGTAAGCATAGATGGAGTAAAGCAGACTTCCATGCTTGGGACCTTCCTAAGGCATGTACAGCACCTTCTTCTTTTAGTCCCTTCTGGTGTGGCCTCAACCACCAGCAGCAGCCTACCTATTACTCAGTATACAGTTCAAAGCCTACCGACAGGAAATAAAGCACAGGCACACTCCTAACAGAAGATTCTAGAAGAGGACTTAAAGTTGGAAACAGGTCCATGTCATTGATATTAAGGCCAAGGTTATTGTTGTTTTTGTCTTTAGAATTTCTATAAATATGTTCAACTGCTGAAGCTTAAGCTGAGCTTCCATAGTCCCAGATCATCTTTGGAACTCTGGGAATTAAAAAAAACAACAACACCCAAACATTTATCTAAAGTTCAAAATCCAGCAGTGACACAGACTTTGGGAGGAGCAAGAGGACAGGGTGGAGAGCAGGCACAGCCAAGCTCTAGCAGGAGGTGTGCTTGGTGGCCAGGGAAGTCCTGTCCTCTGCCAGCTCAGCAGCGAGGGCGCAGCCAGTGAGCCTAGGTCCCTGGGCTGGCCACAGGGCCACCCACAGAAGAAATAGGGTCTGTGAAATAGGATCCCTCCACACAAGAAGCCAGCCCAAGAGGTCCCAGGACACTTAGGCACAAGGCAGCTGGGAAGTCTCTAATTAATTTTGTGGCCTTTTTTTGTTGTTGAGAGGGAAAGAAGAAAGAGAGAGAGAGAGAGAGAGAGAGAGAGAGAGAGAGAGAGAGAGAGAGGAGGGGGGAGGAATAAAAGGAAAGTGCGGTGACATTTACTCTTTAGCCTCAGCCAGTTTATTGCTCATCTCTTTACTTTGCTCCTTATCATCGGGTTTGGCGGCGACAGCACCCTCTGCACTTTTTTTCTTGGCGGCCTGGCCTGACACCACCTGTTTGTCTTTGGCCTTCCTCGGGGGCTTATGGCTCGCTGAGGTCTTTTTTGGTTTGGAACTCTGAACACTAGGCTTCTCCACCTGCTTGGAGAGACAGACAGACAGAGCACAAATATAGGAACACAAAGGGAGTGGGTGGGATAAGGAGAAAAAGACAGAAGTGTTAATGCAAGGATCTCACTCAAGGCAGCATTTGATGCTGAGGGAGAGCAACATAGACAAATTTTGGCTCCTCTTATCTGTGCTCCCGGGTCAGTTTATGGCAACACCAGCTACATGGGCTCCCTACTCTGCCAGTCTCCCCCTGGATTACCCTTGACAGTGAACCACATCATTTTTTTGCTAGGATCTGTTATCCCTCTACTTTGTTACCTCATTCAATTCAGGCACAGAGTTTACTGTAGTCCATAAAATGGGGAGAGGCATGGGTCACCTCTGCAATGCTCTCTGCCCTCTGCCACAGAGGGTGGGGCCCCATTTTCCAGTCTGGTACTGAAGAGGCAATAGGAGTAGACCTTCAACCACTCATGAAGTCCAGGATTCACGTGAGAGGGGCCTTGTTTCGTTGTTGGATGCCATGGTATACTTCCTGTATAGCTAGGAGAACAGGTATGAACTACCACACGCAGTGAGTGAGGCTTCACCTACTGAGGTGAAGCCTCAAGAAGATTTTGCCTGAGTTGGCCTCGAACCTTGATCCTACCAAGCTCAGCCTCCCAAGTAGATAGGATTACAAGCATGAGCTATCACACCCAGCTTAGCAACACATCTTGTAGCAGATAGGTCCGGTGTGTCTTAACAGACAGGACGCTGCTGGTGGGTGTTTTATCAAGGAAAGAATGAGCAAGAGTGGGTGTGTTCAGGGACTGAGGAAGGAAGGGAACCAGGGTCTGGTGGCTAGATTGGGATGGAGAAGGATACAGAGCCAGGGCTGGATGGGAGAGAAGCCAGATGAGAGGGCCTGCCACCCTGTAACCAGTTAGGAGCAGAAGAACAGCTCTTTTAAGACAAAGGATTCAGGGTTTGGTAAGATCTGCCATTTTTTTTTCCTCTCTAGATTTCTTAAACACAGATAGTAGTTCTCTGGAAATTTGCCAGCCTTTAAGCTATTTTAATTTTAGATGATATAGCTTTGGACGGTTTCATTTGAATTTAACAAAGGTTACAGTTGATGCTAAAGAGGAAAAGAGTTATTTGACAGGAGCTGCTGGTGGTGGGTAGGGGGGGAGCAGGTGGCCCCACTCCCACTCTCTGCTTCAGCCTACCCTCCAGTGTAGGCTGTGCTATGGTCCTCCCCCAGAAAAACCACTTCTTACCTTTGGGGGTTCCTTGAAAGGTTCACTATAAAGGCTACGTATTCTTCTGCGATCGATGATCTTATTGTCAGCTGCAGTGGGTTTATTGACCTCCCCTTTGAACTGGGCACTGTAGCTGGTCTCATGAGCCATCTTGTCATCTGGGGGCTTGTATTGGGGCTTTGCTTTGATTGGTTTCACAGGCTTGACGTCTGTCCACGCTCTGAATTCATTTCTGTCAGTCAAAGAAAGCAGAAGCGATACGAGACATCAAATGACTGCAAACAACACTCCTGCCGATGACTGCAAACAACACTCCTGCCGCTGGTGCACACGCTCCAGGCTCCAGATTAGTGCTTAGGGCACTGGTCAAAGCATGGCCACTTAGCATCCTGTCATCCTGAACACAGACAAGTCTACCCAGGTTATGGCAACAGCAGTAGAGCCTCAGGTAGAACACACAGAGCGAACACTCAGGGTCCCTCTCTGCTCTGTGACGCTACAAGGTCATGGGTAGGCAATTCTCATCTTTAGGCCTTGTTTGCCCAGTTTCCAAAATGAGGCTGAAAACCCTAGGCCAGGCAGTCATTTATGAGTCACACAAATATCAAGTGCCTGATAAGTGCAAGGTTAAAGAGTTCAACTTTTCTTTTTTATTGTTGTTTTTGTGCCAGTACTGGGGCTTAAACTCAAGGCCTGAGTGCCATCTGTCCCTTAGTTTTTTTGCTTAAGGCTGGTGCTCTACCTCTTAAACCACACCTCACTTCTGGCTCTTCTGGTTAATTGGAGATAAGATTCTCACAGACTTTCCTGCCTAGGCTGGTTTCAAACCACAATCCTCCAATCTCAGCTGCCGGATTGGCTGGGATTACTAGTATAAGAATTGGGAGTGCTGGGCGCTGGTGGCTCACGACTCTAATCCTAGCTACTCAGAAGGCTGAGATCTGAGGATCATGGTTCAAAGCCATCCTCGGCAGGAAAGTCCGTGAGATTCTTATCTCTAATCACCAGAAAACTGGAAGTGGCATGGTGGCTCAAGTGGTAGAGCACTCACCTTGAGCTTTAGAGCTCAGGGACAGTGCCCAGGCCCAGAGTTCAAGCCCTGTGACCAACAAAAAATAAAAAAAAAAAAAGAGTTGGAAGTGACACAGCACAGGCACACATTGTGGCCTATGAACAATGGCCAGCTCCTTTCCCTTCTTCATAATGCACAATCTCTGTTGTCCAGAGTCTTAAGGATCATTTCTCTCATTGAATAGCAGAAACATTTCTTCTTATAGTGCCAGAACTTTAACAACCCAATCACTTTGAGTTCACATCTTAAGTAAACCACATGTCCTGCTATCATATGGATGTCACAACTAGGATTTGCATTGATAAGTGCAGGTGTAGGAGAGCCTTTAAGTGATTAGGTTTGAGTGACAATTGCCCTGGCCCTGACATCATCCTCATTTGCTGTCCCTCCCATCTTTTTTTTTTTTTTTGAGTCTTGGTGTAGTTTTGGAGTTTGCAACAGTCTCTTCTGGTTTCTAATCAGCTGTTTCTAACCAGGCAATTGATAGTTGACAATATTTGACTTTGGGTAAAATGAATGTAGGTATAGCTGGAGGCCTAAAGCGTTCCCCTGGGTAAGGGCATGAGACTCAGTATGGAAGCTCCTGGGCTCTGGAGGCCTTGCTCAGGCCTGTGTGCTATCTGGGGCCTCTGGACATAGCTTGGACTACATAGTGATTTGAGGGTGTCTGCCTCTAGCTGGTAAGCAGGCCTCCTGCTTGGAGTCCTAGTTTCATTTGTCAAATAAGGCTAGTACTGATGCTGTCAGCTGATAAAGCTAGCTTTGTCACTCAAGGTTGGAACTCTACCACCTGAGCTATACCTCCACTTTCAGCTTTTTGCTGATTATTTGGAGATAGGTGTCTCAGATTTGCTGGCTTCAAAACGTATCATCAAATTTCAGTCTCCTGGATTGCTAGGATTATAAGCATGAGCCCCTGGAACCTGGCAACTCTTACATTTTGCCCTTCTGCTCCTTGGAGTTCTCTAGCAGAGATGGCTCTTAGGTGGAGAGAATCCACTAAGAGACCCTCCTCTTAGCTTCAAGGTTACATTTGGGGTTCAGCTCAGGCCTGCGCTTGGATGTTCCATCCACATTTCCTATCACTGGACCAAATTATCTAGTCTTCCCTGTTAACTTGTCTTCCCCAGCATTCAAGGAAGGGAAGACAGATGGATACTTACAAAGTGGCAAAGCCCAAAGCCTGTGAACCAAGCTGATAAAGAGGCACCACCTTGGGGCCACACCAGATCATAAAGAAAGGAAAAGGTTATTACAGAACAATGACTTGAGCATAGAACATTCTAGGCTCAGTGAAATGTAGACAGATTAATGTGGTAAGGAGATGCAGGGAGCCTGGGCCAGAATAGAGACAATATATTCCTGGAAAGAGATAAACCTGGGTTATATCTCTGCTCTAGACCATGCTGCATCAATTCTCAGCTGTTTGTGTAGGATTTACAGGAGTGCTAGTCACAGAATCCAGGTGAAGGTTATGGATTTTTCTGTCAGAATGACAAAGTCCATGGGAGATAACTTTATCAGAAATGTATTAGGCTGCATTACAGGTGTTTATGCAAGAAAAACTTATCACAGATCCCCTGCATTATGAATATGTCTACAGCTTCAGCCTCTAGAGCCCTGGCTGTTAGATAGAAACATAATAGGCAAGTTAAAAGATGCTTTTGCAATCCTGGTAATCAACTAAAATAAATCTTCCAACTTTGCATCTGTACACTTTATGTGAGCTACTCTCTGCTGCAGTGCTTTTGCAACCTGTCTGTAGGAAGAAGTGATGATTTTTGATAATCATTTTGTGTAGAAAGCAAATTGCCCTTCAAAGAGGCAATGTCTTCTTATCTTAAATAGCCACAAATTCAGACCACCTTGTTCCTGTTCTGTCTCAATAATAAAGTGAAAACTTTTCTAGAACTACTCCAGGGACAAAGACTGAGGGTCAGCCAGGTGGTACCTGTGGCATACTTCTGCATACCTTTCTCTCTCCCTGTCCCCAATTCTCCCTATTTAACTAGAAGCAGTGTCTGTACCTCTGAAGATAGATGATGATGTACTGAAGTCCTCCTCCCATGGCTGGAGGAGCAATTGCAGCGGGAAAGAGAGCCAGTTATTGACAAGCCAGGTCCTAGGAGGGGGAGAAAGGGAGGCATGAGGGACTCAGCTCTAGAGATGGTTTGGCCTTGGAAAGAAAGACTTGTGGAAGAATAGTGGAAACCATTCTTTCAATTCTAATGTGAAAAAGGCTGACATTTACAAGAAACAAAGAAAGAATTGCACAACGAACCAGCTTTACTGCTGTGAAGAATAGAGCTGCTCCAGCAAGGGCTGTGGCTTGAGTGGTAGAGCTCCAGCGGGAGTCCTTGAGCCAAAGCCCCAGTTTCAGTTCCACTCCCAGCCAGCCCCCCCCAAAAAAGAACAATAAAAGAATAGCTACATGTGTTAATTGGTACAGATCACTTCTTGACAAAAGTAGAGACTTGGAATAATGGATTACAATCATATAAAAATTTCATTTCTCTTCCCATAAGCCCTAGATTTATTTATTATGTATCGAGGTCCTTGGGAAATCAAATTTTTTCCCTATCCTCTACACAATAAAATTTTCAACATTTCTCAACTGCATTATGAAAGAAAACGATGGTGCTTTTAAGTCTTAATGGTCTAAAACCTTCCTACAGACTTCTAAGTAATTTATGTTGTCATGGAAACATGTCAAAGCTATGTTCAAAAAGCTTGTCTGGATTTGTGATATTAAACTGTCCTCAGTGAAAGGAAGCAGACTCCGTTGTGAACTTGATGGCAGTCATTAGAGGACACTGTCAGGTGCCAAATTATTGTCAAGATGTGGTTAAAGGAAGTAGGATCTATAGGTTTAAAAAACCACTCTGCTATCTAGGAGAGGATGGGAGAGGCAGAAGGGAGGGTATATTGAGGGGCAATGAAAAGTGGAAGGACATGATCCATCCTTCCATCCATCTATAGACAGGATAACAAAGTCCTCAAATGCTTTTTTGAAAAGGGAGTTGGAGGGTGGAAGAAACGGGAATTTAGTGAAGGAGCTGAGTTTGTTCATAGCACACAGTGTGTTCATCTAGAAATATCACAATGTGCCAGGCAACAATGGCTTAGGTCTGTAATCCTAGTTACTTAGGAGGCTGAGATGTGAGGACTGCAGTTTGAAGCCAGCCTAGGTATGAAAGTCTATGAGACTCTTAATCTCCAATTAACCACCAAAATGCCAGAGTGGAGCTGTGGCTCAAGTGTGAGAGCACTAGCTTTGAGCAAAAAAGTGCAGGAACAGTACCCACATCCTGAGTTCAAGCCCCAGGACCAGCACTAAAAGAAAAAAAAAGAAATATCAGAGTCAAATGTCATACTATAGATGTATGCTAATTCAAAAATAAAATAAAGTATTTTTTAAAGTAAAGAACAGCTGGGTGCTGGTGGGTCACACTTGTAATCCTAGCTACCTAGGAGGGTGAGATTTGAGGATTGTGGTTCAAAGGCAGCCTGGGCAAGAAAGTCTGTGAGACTCTTATCTCCAACTAATCATAGTAAAAGCTGGAAGTGGCACTGTGGTTCAAGTGGTAGCGTGCTAGCCTTGAGGACAAAGCTCAGGGACAGAGCCCAGGAGCTGAATTCAAACCCCAGGACCAGGAAAGAAAAAAAAGTGAAGAATCTGTAGGGTTGCAGGTAGCTTAGAGAACCTTCTTTTCCCTTCAGAAGAGAGAAGATTGCTTCCTCTGGCCAGAAATGGGTGGATTGGGGATCTATGCATCTATATCCATCTATATGCCTGCATGGGTATTTCAGCTGCTATTGTGAGAGGGAGAAAAGAAAAATATATAGACATGTCAGTGTTCTAACCAGGAAGGATGATTCTTCCCGTCTATTAATATCTGATAAACACATGTACAGCACAGATGGAAATATTCTAAAATAAATTAAGGAAAACTCTCTCTCTCCCTCTCTATTTCTCTCTCTGGATAAGAGTTGGAATTGACAGGAGTAAGGACTTAGGTCCCCTAATTAAGGAAATGGCAGAATATAGCTGTCACTTAAGTCTACTCATAGGCTGAATCAGAGCCGTTGTGGGCCTGGGTAGCAGTCTTACAGTATGTGTAGACTCACTCATCTACAGCTGAAAATTACAACTGCTAAAA